TGGGGGGGATTAAATAGTCTTTTTTCTTTTCATTTTCCTGTTTTGTCTTTCTCCTCAAGGCCTCATACAGTAATACTATTTTTACAATTAGGTTAGTGAACTAATGAAAAAATAACAAACTCATAATTTTCTTCAACCCAATAAAGAGTTTACATACTGATATATATGGTTGGGTTACTATACCTGATTTTAATTCAATTTATTAATTAAAACATTATTTCACTTCTATAAAAATATCACTTCAATGAAATTGGATAGCGATCAGTACCTAAACTTATGAATGATACTTGTCGAAGTGGTGACAGCCAACCATGGTAAATTCTAGCCGTTTACTTGTATACTATTTCTCAATAATTGAGGCTTCGAATATATGTACGTGGGAGTAATTTGGTAGCTCAGTTATATTGCCACCAATGTTTTGTAACTATCCCACATGCCACTTCAATTACAAACTTTTTTGAAGATATAATTGGGTTGTGACAAACTTAAATATTTGCATATGTATCCTGTGAGTTGTGGAGTTATGTCCCGTGGCGGAATCACGTGGTGGCAAGCGGGTTCAATTGAACTTGCTTCATCAAAAAATAATATTGTATATATGTATAAATTAGGATTAAAGATGCGTAAATTTTGTATAAATATTTTATTTGAACTCATTTGACAACTACTATTTTACAACTAAAGTTATGTACTTTTAAGATTGAACTCGTTTGCACAAAATCTTGAGTCCGCCACTGGTTATGTCTTAGTAGAGTCATTATTATATAGCGAGTTGTATACAGTATTATGATGATGTGGAGGCCTCGTCCAAATTCTCAACGATGAGAAGAAATGTTGAGTAATAAAAGTACTAATATTAACTCCCCTTATAATGAGATCTAGCCACAAAAAAAAAAATGTTAGACAACACCTGTGCTCAAAAGAATAAGCGTATTAAAAATAATAATTTTGTTAGGCAAATTGAGAAATCAGAATACTGCTAACGATGGATGGGCGATTGATTTCTCATATTAATTAACAATTAGTTGTTGGAGTTAATAAAAAAAAATTATTGATACAAAGAATCTTCATCTAGTCACGAAAATTTTAATCAACATTCTATTAAATATTATATTGATTGAAGATATCTACCTAAATCTAAGCACATTGTCGTAAGATCATGAAGCTTGACGGTATAAATAATAAAGTTCAAAGTCCGAAAAATAATAATAAAGTCCAAAGTACATAATGATCTTAATATCGTATACCAGGTCGTTTTTTGTTTATTATATCACAGTCGATGTTGAACTAACTCAATAAATGCCAAAAGTAGGGAGGATTTTTGTATTTTAAAAAAACAAGGTTAGTCTTAGGCAATAAATTCGGGATTCGTATATATCAGTAGTAAAGAAAAGTAGCCTAAAAAGTATGTCGAAACTAAAAATGAAAGCCAGTTATTTTAAACAAATAATTGAGAAGTAAACTGACGCGATTTTTATTTCTTTTATTTCCATTTGACTTGTCTTATAATGTGTTTCGTCCTTCTTCTTTTTTTTTTCTTTTTTTTTTTGCACAAAACAAGTTACTTCGAAATTCGAATTAACAAATGATAATTATCGTGAAATGGTAAAAGAAATTATATTTCATGTTTTTTAACCAAATTGAGTAAAATACCCCATTTGATATCAATAAGTATTAGAATTTTGTTATAAAATAAAGACTATAAAAGAAATAAACTGAAAACAAGTATAGAGGAAGATTGATAGTTTATTCAACTTTCAAAGTTATGTTCATAATGAACTGAAAACTCCTCTATTTATAAAAGAAATGAAGCATATGCGAGGCTTTTCTTTAGCAGCTTGTAAGCTGTCTGCATGAGCTGCTTGCAACTTGTCTGTTTAATAAGAAACTGCTGCAAATCATTTTATTGTAACCTGTTTGCATCAGCTGCTTGTAGATAAGCTTCAATAGAGTACTAAATGGATAATCTTCTTCAGGAAGGTTATCTATAGCGGAGTAATAAATAAACATCTACAAATATAATATTTTCATAACAAATTTCTATTTATTGATGTATTGATATTTTAGAATACCTTTCTCTGGTAAAAAAGTTCGGGGAGTTATTGTTCAATTTTTTTGATAGTAAACTGTATTTGCAAAATAATTCCGGAGAAGATAAAATAACATATAAACAGAAATGTAAAAGAAACGCCCACTGAATTCACAGTGTTTCCTTAAGGAATTTAATCCCCTCCTAATACCCAAGGTTGTGAATTATTTCCTCCCAGGATAGAACGAATTACACACTGGTGTAGCGGTACTTCAAACTCCAGTGTTTCAGCGAATACAAAGATTGGTAGCAAATCACACTTACTGTTGCTTTTTTTTTTTGTAGTTAAAATAATGTAGAAGAAAGGAGGAGAACTCAGAAATTCGTATGAAAAATCTGAGAGAATAGACTGGTATTTATAGTCAATGTTGAGCTCAAACTGAAGAGGTGCAACTCTTCAGAATGGGCTGTTTGTGTAAAACGGCCATAACGTAAATGGCTTTTACAAAAAGCGAAGGGCATATAATGTTCCGGTGGATTTAAAAACGGATATTTAATAACATTTCTGTTAATATTTACTATTAACAAATAAATTTGGTCCAAGAAATTAATCAATCAATCGATCATTTGACCAAAGCCGAAGTCGAGCGAGCGACGACGGCGCGAGACTTGCCATCTTCTTAACTCTTTAAAAGTTAGGAGAAGAGCAATTGTATATATATCCATAAAAAAACCTTTCCTTTTCCAATATATGTCCCTTTGCCAAGAAGCGAAACTCAAATATTTTCAATTTCTCTTCATTTCTCATTCTCCCTTTTTAAGCTACATTTAAGCTTAAAACCCCAACATTTTTTTATCCAACTAGACGTCTTCAATTTTTTTTCATGGATAATTATGTATTCGAGAACAGCGATGCCTCAGTTCATGCAACAAATACAGAATTAGTTGTCAATAATTCTTCAGTACAACACGTTGTTTTCTAAAACTAATTCTTGCAACAAATACAGAATTAGTTCTTTCAGACAAATCCAAATACACAAATTATTTTACAAATATTACAGAAGAAAAATAAACTTAAGACACTAGTACAATTTTACTTTCAGAATTCAGTTATGGAGCAAATTTTAGATGGAATGACTCCTCGTTGGCAGTTATAGCAGCAGACGTATATATGAGCTTATAGTGGAAGAGAACACGTGATGACCACGTGCTGGTAGAAAAGCAAAACAGATCTGCCTCAGATGTCAGATTGTAGCATGTGATTAATGACATCGAAAATCAGGTCTTTTTCTGTCCTGTACTCTCACAAACCACATATTTACATGTAAGGACAGAAAAGGAAAAAAAGGGAGAAAAATATCACTTTCTACTTTTAGGAAGTAGAAGAAGAGAAAAATATAGTACAAACATATTTATGAAGAAGTTACATGCAAAAAAATATATAGAGTAATGTATGTGCACCATTTGATGCTTTCTTTATTTTACTTTTGAATTTGTTTGGTCCAATAGGCTAGAGTATAAATATATTTTTGAAGAAGCTGGATGCAAAAAAAGTATATAGAGTAATGTATATGTACCGTTTGATGCTTTCTCTGTTTTACTTTTAAATTCTTGTGGT